CAGGAAGGGAACAATAATTGTCTAAAGATGTAAGGGATGAGACGATTGCTTCGGTGACAATATTCTCTTTCAGGTAGTCAGGTGAGGGAGTTGGATTTGCTTTAATATAATCAATGTCGATAGGTGCTTTCAACCCAATATTTTCTTTCAACCGGGAGTCAAATTCAATGGCCGGTTTAATAGCGGTGTCTTAAAGACAATAGTTTGATGACGCCCGATTCTGGCGTGTATCCTGCTTGATACTTCGCTCAAATAGTTTCCGAAGGTCCTCCAAGATTCATTTTTTTCTCGGTTAGACTGACATGACTGTTTCTGCTATCGCCCAAGTTCATTGGACCTCTTATGAAACAAGCAGTTCGTCTGCCTCCAAGATAAGTTATCATATTAAAAAATTCGACAACTTCTCTATCGTATTTGTGAAATGGATTGTACATAATCTCTACTACATCACCGAGGTATTTGTAAAAAAATTTGTCTTTTGAGATTTTTCCTCCGTGTGTAAGGTCCTGTATCTTGATACACAATGGATCGGCGTTCTCAACAGCTACGTGGACAGTGAATAGATCGTCAGGGTCAACATTACCTGTGAGGTCTGTGTCGAACACTTCATCAGGTTGAGGTTCCTCAATGCAGGAGCAGCCAATGTGATCCACAGTATCCATACGATGCTCGTTTAGTTCTTGGTCAGAAGTCAAGCTATTGCTTTCGGATAAATTGTTGGAATCATACTCTCCCTCGCTTCCACCTGAGTCATAGTTTCTAGATGAAAACAGTACAGTACATCATGTCTTTAGTGTCACCTGGGTTAAGAATGAGGACGTTACTTGCTTCCATTTCTCAAAGATACTCAAGCTGATATGACGACGCTGTTAAAATGTTTCAAAACTTTCCCTAGCCATAGAGACCATAGAAGAACGCTGATTCTAATCCTAACCTAATTTATTTTAACTAAATAAAATGACTTATGTCAGCTTGTCAATTGTCATATGGTCCATGTAGAAATGAGTAAAAAACCTGAACAATATGTTACAGTAAATAAAAAAGAACACACAAAGAATAATATTAATTTACTTTACTACAATGACAACACTCATTACTTTTCACTGTCGGAAATGTTGATGTCAGAATCGACTTCCTGTCCTTCCTGGTCTTCAACCATTTTTTGCCTTTTTCCATTCGTATCGGTTGCAGCACTTCGCTTAGGTACGGCTTGAAACATGTCCCTCTGCTTCTGTTTTTTCTTATCATGGTCCTTGGCACTGCACTTTAAGAAATGATCTAATTCGAAAGAAATTTAATTGATGAGTGAGCTAGTCAGCAACATACATACAGTAGTAGGCTATACAGTTTAGAATCATTCAATGTTTATTTAAAAATGAGTAAAATATTGGATTGCATTATGAAATAATGAATTGCTCCAGGGCCAGAGGGCCTTTTTAAGAATTTGTCTGTGTATGTGGGGGAAGCATCTACAGAAAGGGATCATACTATACTAAGTGTGGAGAGATGACAGATGGTTGTTGGTGAGAAAACATTTAGTGTAGTGTCGTATGTAATAGCAGGGGGACTGTATTTTTGGATATATAATGTAGTGTTACATTATGTTGTAACCATGGGGGCTGGACGGTGGGGGGCTTTCCCCTCCCCCAAATTATATAGTTAAAAAAGGTTCTGCTTTGCTCAAAGTTATTTGTTATACACAGATTCAACACAACATGATCACATGTTATATTTAGTGATGTAGCCAGCCCAACGATTTGGTACCGCTATGCAATTTAGGAATTGATTGTGTTGATAGTTTGTAAACATGGCAATATTTGCATAACAGGACTGAATTGTTGGGCTGGCTATGCCACTGGTGACATTTTACTTGTTTGTTGCAAAGTTCAAAAGTTCATATTGACATTCTCAAACCGGTTAGTAAATGAAGCCTTTGATTGGTCCTTTAGTTGGGGTAGCCAATTACAAACCATCTTGAGAATTTCAATGTGAACTTTTGAACTCCACAACAAACTTACCAATTTCAGAACAAAGTTCGATAGATAGCATGATACAGTATCTCTCATATATTTTTGTATTATTATCTCAAATCTCACTCATAAATGTACAACTATTTTATACTTACTCATGAGTGCTGCAATTCCCAAATGACCATCAGTGTTTCCCGATCTGAAACTGACACTTTATCGCCTGTTTTATCGAAATAAAACCGTCTCTTATATACACAAATAACCACAAAAAGTCTGTCTAAAATTACAACATGTGCAATATTTTTTCTCAAAACAAAAGTCTCCCGCGATCAACGAGCACAGCGGCTATAATATGTCATAAAACTTCGTGTAGTAACATCCCCCTCCCGAATGCCACAGCATTCGTTCTTAAACAGCGAATTGCAGTTCAACAATATAAGTCAAATAATGTAAATAAATGTAGTCCATTGCTACAGCTAGATGATCTATAACAAACTGTCAGTCACAAGATTTGCTAAACTTTAGTGTTTTACGTAAGTTATGCATGTACATATTCCAAAGGACATAAGCGATGAACTGGGCAAAAGTACTCCTTATCTCGTGATTTGAGTTTAACAGTCCTTACTAGTCTGTCACTACCAGGATACGCTTCCAGTATTCGACCAAGGGGCCAATCTCCGCGACTTGCTTTAGGCTCTGCAATAAGAACAACATCTCCCAGGCTTCAAGTTATGATGGGGGTGGAACCATTTCTTTCTTACGTTTAAGCTGGGAAGAAACTCCTTCCTCCACCGTTTCCAGAATAATCGTAGAAGTTGCTGGACTCGATGCCATCTTCGCACTGGGTTATAAACTTCCTCTTTATCTACTGCTTCCAGTGCAAATCGTCCTCCAATCTGGCCAACGATTAAGTGATTCGGAGTAAGCGGTGACAGGTCATTTGGATCCGCGCTTACATAAGTTATCGGTCTCGAGTTTATCATCCCTTCAGCGCCACATATGGCCGTATGCAACTCCTCGTCTCGAATATCTGCGTCACCCAAAATGATTTTAATGGCTTTCTTTGCACTCTTGATCAAGGCTTCAAACACTCCACCAAAATGCAGTGCAGATGGCGGGTTGAACTTCCACGTAATCGGTTGGTACTTGGTGGTCTCGCGCACAATCTTTTCTTGGTCCAGGTTCTTGATTAGCTCCCACAACTCCCGTTCAGCCGCGACGAAATTAGTCCCGTTGTCACTAACCACGTAACTCGGTGTCCCCCTCCTGGAAACCATTCGAACAAATGCATTAATAAAGGAATCACTGTCTAACGAGTAAGCCATTTCTAGATGTACGGCTCGCGTAGCCAGACATGTGAACAAACACAAGTACCGCTTGGCTCTCTTTGTTTCACGTCCTTGTTTGGTCAAAAAAGGTCCCGCATAGTCAACTCCAATCTTATCGAATGCTTGCAATGATTCCAGTCTTGGTCTCGGAAGCGGAGCCATCATTTGTTGTCCGGTCTTCTTTAAAAATCGTCGTAGCAATAGTATCGTCGTAGTAACTGTAGCAACGTTGGATCCTTTTCAGCTCTAGGAAAGGCTTCTCCTTGAGCTTGTCTTATCCAGAATTTCTCAGCTTGTACAATCTCCGTAAATGAAAGAATGTTACTTTTATTTCTGGCATTGTGCGACCGTTTCGCATTGGTCGTAAAACGTAGTATCCATGCCGTCACCTGACACAGGTGTCTGAAACTTGAAAATTGCCGTGGGTTAATAAAATCTGCACCTCCGGTATTTGTCACAAACGTCTGGGTAACTCGCTTTTCGCAACCGTCCAGTGCTTTTGGATTTCTGCTGGGACTTGCTGGCCATAATGTCTCAAATTGTGGACCTTCTGTCCAAAATACACTGTTGACGAGTTCTGCAACCGACATTCCTCTGGTCGCTAGGTCTGGGTTTGTGGTGCGCTGAATCTCTCCCACTCGATTTGCCACAAAAGGCTTGAATTCCTTGCTTTGGTTATGTACCCAGTACCAGACGTTTTCGGAATCTGTCCAAAAGAATACTCTGTTGACAGTGAGCACTTTAAGAAGACGGTTGAGCGAGGCAACATGACAGAAGGGCACCCATGAGCTCTAAACGAGGTATGGTAATGGCCTTAACAGGTGCAACACGACACGTTGAGGCAATAAGTCTGGATGTTAACATGCTGTCGTCATAAAGGCACACCAAGTATGCCACAGTGGCAAACGCCATTCTAGATGCATCTGAAAAGAGATGCAAGTTGACATTTGTGGGATTAGCCAGTCGAAGAGCACGGGGTATGTTCACACGTGACAAGTTAGTTGCTAGATTATTTGGCAACACATGGTCCCAGTCTAATCCGGCCAACCATATCTCTTGCATCAACACCTCGGCTCTCATGATGAATGGAGACAAAAATTGCAGTGGATCGTAGATAGCAGCGATTGTGCTCAGAACATTACGCTTCTTCAAGGGCTTACTGGATTCCGGTAATTTGACTTGAAAAGTAAAAACGTCTTCTTTGGCTTCCCACATAACGCCTAAAGTTTTAATCTTCAACGTCTCCTCTTTGCCGAAATCCAATGTTGAAAGTCGGTCACTTGGTGCTATACTCTCGATAACTGCAGTCTCATTTGATGCCCATTTTCTCAGGTTGAATCCTGCTGATGCTAAAAGAGAAGTAAGCTGACATCCTATGTTCTGGGCGCTCTCAACCGTCTCACTGGAATCTAGAAGATCGTCTACATACATCGAATTGGCCACCGAGTCTGCCACTTCTGGAAATTCTGCTGCATGTTGTTGACAATGGGTTTGAATGACGTATTGTGAACAAAATGGGGAGGCTGTGTTACCAAACATTAATCTCTGAAACTCATAGACGGTCGGCTCTTGAGTAGGGTCAAAATCACGCCAAAGGAACCTGTGGTACTTTTTATCTTCCTCACGAATCCCAACTTGTAGGAACATCTCAGATATATCACCGCTGAGTGCCACAGGTGCTCTGCGGAAACGTGTAAGTACGTCTATTATTTCTCGCTGAAGCTTAGGCCCCGACCGTATAACGTCGTTCAAACTCTTCCCATTATATTTCATTGCTGCATCAAATACGACACAAATTTTGGTCGTCGATTTATCCAATCTGATTACGGGAAAATGGGATAAGAACCACTGATCCAATGCCGCCGACTTAGGTACTTGCTTTATATAATCCTCGAAAATCTGACAATAAGCCTTCATTATCTCTGAACCCTTTCTTTTCAATGACTTTTCTTGACTCTCCAGACGACACATAGCGGCTTTGAAATTGTTGTCTAACTTTGGTTCACCATCCTTCCAGGGCATTCCAAGTTCGTATCTTCCTTCCTTGAATTTAAGTGTTCTCGAAACTTGTGTAGTCGCAGCTCTGTCTTCAGCAGTCACAGGATAGTCTGTTTGATCTTTGATGCCAATCGATTCTAACTCCAAGAATTGGCGAAGGACATCAATTGGTGGTTCCTGCTGGTTATCTTGATTATGGCATGATCGATACGTCCGTGTAAAATGCACCCGGGACTCTTTCCGATGGTCTTCCACCGAGGTCGGCCCAAAGCAAACCCAGCCCAAATTTGTCAACCGAGCAATCGGGTCAGTTGGTTGGCTTCCACTCACATCTTTCAATACTAAATGGAACAACGGATGATCGCTTCCTATCATCACATCAATTTGACGACATTTCGACACTTGCTCAAACGGAACATCAATTAGATGAGACCATTTCTCCTTGATCTTGGACCATTGGATAGATGGCGTGTCACCAGCTATGTTGTTTAGAACATGTGCTTGCAGAGAAGATGAAAATGACCCATCAATGCTACTCACCAACAGTTCAACAAAACGTGAACGTTGCTTGATTTCAGCTCCACCGGTTCCTGAAATGGTCAAATTGAGTGGCTGCCTCTTCTGAGACATACGAATTCGTCGAACATGTATCTAACATGACATTCACCCGTATCGTTCTATTTCCATTGCTAATAACTGCTGGTAGAATCATCAACGAGACGCTATCTGAATTACTAGTTTTATATCCTCTCACTTGGGATGTTTCAGAACTAAGTCCCTTTTGACTAAATGAAGATGCTTCTGGTTGTAGCTGACTTTCACTTCCTGAAGATTGACCATCGACACCATTTATTGCATTTCCTTGTTGCTCCGTATTTTGTCCTAATGATCCATGGCTAGGGGAACTTTCATGTAAATAACTGCTATATCTGGTACTTTTGCAACCTGCGATACCACATGCTCGAACTTTCTTGCAGTCTCTGCTGTGGTGACCAGCTGCCAAGCATCTATAACGGCCACTTTTGGTGATTAACTCTTTTCTCTGTGATACCTCAAGTGCTTTAAACAAAAGACAGACCCATGGAGGATGGTTTTGGTTGCATTTCTCAACAATGCAATGCCTGGTTGCTGTTCTTGTGTTGTACCCTCAAGCTCGCTGTCTGTCTTGTCGAATACCATTGTTCTTCTCATTTCTTAATGTGTTCTGCTTTCCCAATCCGTATGTCTCCTCCTTTGCCTCTTCCATTACTTGTACTCGAAGTTCTATCCACTCCAATAATGACTCAAAGTTATCCTCCTGGGAGTGATCTAATAACCAATGTTTATAAGATTGAACATCTTCCTCTGTCAGCTTCTCCTTAGCAGTCAAATTAAGACTTTCCAATTGAAATGATCCACAGTCTTTCGTAGCTAACGAAACACGCTCCAAGACAGCTTGTAATTCTTCAAAGTCTTCTAGGTTGCGGGATCGAATCTTTTTCCAATTTCGTAGAGTTGTTAGGTGTTTAATTTGTTGTCTTCGCTGCCCACCATATTTCTTTTCTAACTTATCTTTTGCCCTTTCGTAGGTACTTGCTGAGTATCCAAGATCCTTGACTATTGTCAGTGCTTTCGCTGACAAACTACTCTGTAACCGAAGCATTTTTTCGCTCACTGGTATGTTCTGTCTGTCCACCATTGACATAAACGCTGCTTTCCAATGCTCATATTCAGCTTTGTCATCTCCCAAGAGTCTTGGTACGCTCACTCCTTTTAGCTTTATAGGCAAAACCTTTTGAACAGGATCTCGTGTAACAGCAGGCAATACTGGAACTTGGTGGGATGAACCATTCTTTGTTAGATATTCCTTAACAGTATCCAAATCGTTTGGACCAGAAAGTCGTTCAGCAACTGTGACTTTAGCTGTATTTATCTCAGCTATTTTCTGTGCTTCTTCTGTACGTTGCTTAGCCAATTCAACTTCTGCCATTAGCTTTTGTAGATCGTTCTCTTTTTGTGTCTGCTCTTCTTCCATCTGCAATAACTTATCATTGGCTTCTTTAACACTTTTTTCTAACTCTGATGGGGAACTGGATACTGGAGCGTGCTGTGATTTACCCTTGGAAAATCCTTCTGAAAACCCTACAGATTCTAGTTCACCGACGGCTAAGCGTTGTTGTAAATGATTCTCTAAGCATCACACATATCGTCAACTGAATTTTGAATTTCCTCAAGCTCCCTGTCCAATGCTTCAATAAATGTCTTATTACCCTCAGCACTAACACAATAAATCTCTTTTATTGTAATTATAATTTTCTCAATTATGTTCATTTCTGTCTTTACCTTGTTTTTTTCTGCTCTACGCAAAGCACTTTTACTTGGTAAACATCCACAGACTTATTTTCAAAAAGCTCGGATAACTTCTTCTTTGCATTTGCCAGTCGAATTTTTGCAGTTATTCTTGTTATTACGTAATCCTTGAATTTTCTTGCTTTTCTTCGTCTTGTCCATTATTCTCTTCATTAGTCTCACCACCATTAGCTTCTTCGTTCACTGTAACGCTGTCTTTCAATGTTTCTTCAACATTGTGAACCGATGCCATTTTGAATTATTAAACAAGTAGCAAAAAACACGATTTTCGAAACGAATTTTTCTCCCTTAAAGTCAAACGATCCAGCTCGAAGGACCAAACTTGATTCTCGATCTGGAACTAACACTTTTTTTTAAAATAAAACCATCTCTTATATACACAAATAACCACAAAAAGTATGCCTAAAAAGTCTCCCGCGATCAACGAGCACAGCGGCTATAATATGTCATAAAACTTCGTGTAGTAACACAGGTGTTTAGTGTAATTGCCTTCTTTGCAGACTAATCAGTAGTAGTTCTTGCGACTTTTTTATTTATTATTATTTAAAAATATTTTTAAATGGTAGTGCTTCAGGGCACGTAGGCACCTGCTTTTCAAGGAGCCGTTTACACACTCAATTAGACTGTATCACACGATACGGACCTCTCGCACATGTTACGCACCTGTCACGTTTCGCGCCAAAACAAACAGAGGAGCGAAGACGATTTCGAAACTCAAAAAAGCAATCCAAAAAGTTGAAACTTAAGGCTCTCCCTATCCGATACTAAAGACAGGGAAATATGTTAAACTGACTTCAATGGATTTATTGTCAAGCCCGAAGTGTACTTTTTCCAACCTAAATGCGAAAAAACAAGTATTTCTTTGACGTAGCTATAAATATCGAAACATTAGTTCCAATTTTAGTTTCAAAAGCTCAGCATATAATCAGCTATAATTCGAAAAATATATGTTTAAATACAAATACTGGAAACAAGGACTTATCTTCAAACATAAACATTTTTAAACTATACCTTAAGCGGAAATTTAAACAAGACTTCTAGATTCACTTCAGTCATATTATTATTTTTTATTATAAATGCTGTCATTGTTGTTGGCAAGTACAATTTGTTGCTGCGTGTCGAAAGAATAGTTTTGAAACAGGTTAATAGAAAAATAGATAGTTTACCTTTTTATTGTCTTAATGAGTAACGATCCAGTGAGATCGAGAACCAAAAATTCCTGATATTTACCCTAGAACCTTATCATGGAATCATGAACTAGTGGTTAGAGCTGAACAAAGTTGGAATCGGTAGCTCAGTTGGTTAGAGCCCTTTACCTGAATCAAATTCAATTCAATTCAATTCAAAAGTCTTTTTAATAGATCAAAAGATAAAAATACATATCTTATGTTACAAGTACATATTAAGAATACATTAGTAAAGTTTACATCATATGAATAGGTTATAGTTAAAAATTAATC